GTTGGTTTTGCGTTTGGATTTGGTTTGTTTTCGTTTGCTTTTTCGTTGTTTTTTTGTTTTGTTGGTATTGGTGTTTGTGGTTGGGTTTGTTGTTAGGTTTTTGTTTTCGTTTGCTTTTTTGTTTGTTTTTTCTTTGTGTTTGTATTGGTGTTTGTGGTTGTGGTTGGGTTTGTTGTTAGGTTTTTGTTTTCGTTTGTATTTGTAATTGTGTTAGCGTTATGTTTGCGTTTTGTTGTTTTGGTTGGTTGTGGTTTGGGTGGGCAATGCCGGGTTTATGATGATTACTAAACACACAGGTAATGGTCTTTAACAGAAAGGTTTTTCACAGAAGCCAGAGCAGGGCCTGGCCGGGACGGCTAGTATATATATATATATATATATATATATATATATATATATATATATATATATATATATATATATATATATATATATATATATATATATATATATATATATATATATATATATATATATATATTATATGTATGGAAACATTTTTGAACCCCTCCCATGACAAATTCCTGGCTACGCCACTGTGTTGGATCAAAGAAAAGGAATTCGTCTTGATGTTTTGTAAAGTGCACACTTTAAAGAAAAATATCGAAGAAACGGTCGAGGTTTCCGTCGGTCGGAAAGAAGTGACAAATGACTGTCTTTTAGACATTGCAAGCTACTGATCACATTTTAACGTAGTCTATTCGGTGTCAACTTCATTTTGAATGAATTACGAAAAAGTAGAAAATCAAACACATATTTTAAAAATCTTTGTAGTAAACAGCTTTTAAATGTACTGTTAAAAGTTTATTATTACAGAGATTTCTTTTTACAAGCTTTTATTTAACTCACTTCCTCGTCAGTCTGTCTGTCTAGACGGAAACGCAGGAGTGAAAATTCGGACAGTTCTACTTGACCGATACGATTCACAGTTGGCACGTGGGTCAAGACATGAAGACAATGCAATCTGAAACTAAATTTGACTTAATTGGATGCCTAATTAATTTTTTATGAATTAATAAAAATTTGGACCGAATTAGTAGGCATGTCTAGCCAACCACACCACACGCGTCATCACCTTCAATAGCTGCGCCATCACGTAATGGCTGCGTTCAAAAACCATTGCGCGCCTACTGAACGTCATGTTCAGTAGGCGCGCAATGGTTTTTAGTCATGTAACTCTATTGTAAATAAAACATGTAAAGTACTGAAAAAAAATTCATAAAAAACGTTTTAATAACAAGCTTTTATGTAATGATGCACTAAAAAGTAGAAAATAAATTATAGACTACTATTTAAATAACTATAAAGAAAAGCGTGGGTGTCTTCCTTAACATTAGTAAAGGTATCCAATAGATACTAAAGTGACCCACGCTTTTCTTTATAGTTATTTAAATAGTAGTCTATAATTTATTTTCTACTTTTTAGTGCATCATTACATAAAAGCTTGTTATTAAAACGTTTTTTATGAATTTTTTTTACAAGCTTTTATTTAACTCACTTCCTCTGTCTGTCGTAAGTCTAGACGGAAACGCAGGAGTGAAAATTCGGACAGTTCTACTTGACCGACACGATTCACAGTTGGCACGTGGGTCAAGACATGAAGACAATGCAATCTGAAACTAAATTTGACTTAATTGGATGCCTAATTGATTTTTTATGAATTAATTAAAATTTGGACCGAATTAGTAGGCATGTCTAGCCAACCACACCACACGCGTCATCAATAGCTGCGCCATCACGACCACGTAATGGCTGCGTTCAAAAACCATTGCGCGCCTACTGAACGTGATATTCAGTAGGCGCGCAATGGTTTTTAGTCATGTAACTCTATTGTAGATAAAACATGTAAAGTACTGAAAAAAAATTCATAAAAAACGTTTTAATAACAAGCTTTTATGTAATGATGCACTAAAAAGTAGAAAATAAATTATAGACTACTATTTAAATAACTATAAAGAAAAGCGTGGGTGTCTTCCTTAACATTAGTAAAGGTATCCAATAGATACTAAAGTGACCCACGCTTTTCTTTATAGTTATTTAAATAGTAGTCTATAATTTATTTTCTACTTTTTAGTGCATCATTACATAAAAGCTTGTTATTAAAACGTTTTTTATGAATTTTTTACAAGCTTTTATTTAACTCACTTCCTCGTCAGTCTGTCTAGACGGAAACGCAGGAGTGAAAATTCGGACAGTTCTACTTGACCGATACGATTCACAGTTGGCACGTGGGTCAAGACATGAAGACAATGCAATCTGAAACTAAATTTGACTTAATTGGACGCCTAATTAATTTTTTATGAATTAATAAAAATTTGGACCGAATTAGTAGGCATGTCTAGCCAAACACACCACACGCGTCATCACCTTCAATAGCTGCGCCATCACGTAATGGCTGCGTTCAAAAACCATTGCGCGCCTACTGAACGTGATGTTCAGTAGGCGCGCAATGGTTTTTAGTCATGTAGGCCTAACTCTATTGTAAATAAAAAACATGTAAAGTGCTGAAAAAAAAAATTCATAAAAAAACGTTTTAATAACAAGCTTTTATGTAATGATGCACTAAAAAGTAGAAAATAAATTATAGACTACTATTTAAATAACTATAAAGAAAAGCGTGGGTGTCTTCCTTAACATTAGTAAAGGTATCCAATAGATACTAAAGTGACCCACGCTTTTCTTTATAGTTATTTAAAATAGTAGTCTATAATTTATTTTCTACTTTTTAGTGCATCATTACATAAAAGCTTGTTATTAAAACGTTTTTTTATGAATTTTTTTTATATTTGTTTTTGTTTTAGTTTACAAGTCCCATAGAACAAGGTCTTAGACCGTCCCTGAGTCCACTCAGCTCTGATGGGTACCTAACTCACGTTAGGGTAAGTAAAGGCGACTGGGCATAGTACTGACCACACTTTATATGCCGATGTCACAGAAACAGGTGAACTCTACTTCACTTTCCCCGTGAACCGTCAGGTTTGAAAAGCAACTTTACATACTATAGAACAAGGTCAAAATGTCCTTGGGTTTATGATCAAATCTTGTAACTCGATTTCTACCCACTTATAATGTAGCGATTTGTTTTAACTAATCAGAAAAATCCATTTCCAATGACAAAGCAAGAATATCTAATTTTTAATCTAATTAAAAATTAAATTAGTCCTTTAAAAAAATTAACTTTGTTTAATAAAAAAAAGGAAGCTAACAGGATTAAGTACAGGTGATCGCTTGACCAGCCAGGTGATTAAGGTAAGATGTTGTTGACGTATGTTTCCACACCTGATCATGGACGTTAATAAGATGCAGATTATTGTTGATTGGAGTTGATACCGCAAGCTACTGACCCTGTATTATGGGACGGTGTGGTCGGGTGGTAGAGAGCTCAACTGCTAGCACGACAGTCTTGAGTTCGTATCTCTGTAAGGACTCGTGACTGAATGAGTGCGCCCAGCCCTGATGGGTATCTGACTTACATTACGGTAAGTTAGGGCGGCTGCGCAAATTACCATACAATCATTCATTATCCGTGGCCAAGAAACATACATCATCTACTTAGATGATCCTGTGTGTAATAAAGGGGAACTTGACGTGTTTTTTTTTTTACTTTAGTGATCGGTTTTAAGTCGTGTGAATTTTCGATCGTCCGTCTGTCTGCCAGCCTGTCCGCCCGTCTGTCCTTTTATTTGTCCGTCTGTCCGTCTGTCTGTACTTCTGACATTCCTTTTGTCTGACCTTTTGTCTGCCTGTGTGTCCATCCGTCAGTCCTTTTGTCTGTCTGTCCACCCGCCCGTCTGTACTTTTAACTGTCCTTTCGTCTGTTCTTTTGTCTGTCCTTTTGTCAGTCTGTCTATCCGTCCGTCTGTCCATTTGTCTGTCTGTCAGTGTGTCCGCCCGTCTGTCTCCTTTTGGCTATCTGTCCGTCTGTCCTTTTGTCTGTCTGTCTGTCTGTCCGTCCGTCAGTCCGTCATCTTGCAGCCCGTCAATCTGTTGTAACAGTCACGTGACAAGAGATCCACACCAGCGATAAAAGTTCTAACGTCTTCCCGGATCGTCTTTCATAAATTAAAAATTCATCATCGTCATCATCATCGTCATCATCATCGTCATCATCATCTTCATCATCATCTTCATCATCATCGTCATCATTATCGTCATCATCATCATCATCATCATCATCTTCATCATCATCGTCATCTTTCCTGTGGACTCCCTATGACGCTCTGGGACTCAACCAAACCTCTCCATCAGACTTGTGTGTGATTCTTCCAAGTTGGATCCACGTCTTTCCGACAGCTTATACTTTACTGGTAACTGATTTTTTAATGGTGTCACCCCCCCCCCCCAAAGGCGTAGCGACTCTTCCCGGGGACAAATTTTCGATTTGCACCCCCCTCAAACTTTCGATTTGCACCCCCCTCAAGTTTTTCTCTATATGTTTTGCTATTTTTTGCCTTGGTGTCACCCCCACCCCCTAAATGGTGTCACCCGGTGCGGTCCCCCCCCCCCCCCCCCCGCTACGCCTCTGGTTTACACACATAGTTAATATAATCTGTTTCTAATCCAGCCTCATTTGCACCATTGTATTTTTCCAATGGTATTTTGCAAGATTTTTCTCCATAATTTGGTATTGTCATTTTTTTCAGGACACTTAATGTTTATAATTAGCTAATACATATTGTTAACCTCTAATTTGAAATCATTATCCACCGAGTGTATCAACTGACAGAACAGGTTTCAAGGTATTGCACCACAGGTAAGCGGTCACAACAGGTAACCCCCCTCCCCCCACCCCTACCCCGAATACCCGTTTAACAAAAGTTAACAAAGGCTACCCCCTTGCAGTCGAGCGCTAGGCCGAATTTGCACCCTACATTTTCTTTTATTAGAGTCAAGCCAAACTCAAATACCCGATTCTATAATTAGAATTGAAAAAAAAAAACTCGGATTGAAACGCAACGAAGCAAATAGTGTCAGCATTTAAAACTAGTTTTGGCCACCCTTTTGTAGCTATCGTATATGTTTTTGTGTGCACTGTGTATGTGTGTGTTTATGTGCCATACGATTTTTGATCTTGAGTCGTTAGGACGCCTTGATTTGATTTTTTTTTACTTAAATGTATGTAAAAAACTGTTTTTAGGATACAAGGCTACGAGCTGCAAGTGACCTTTAAAGGTCATAGACGTCACGAAGGGTGAGCAAATATTACTTAACATTCGTGTTGTAGTTATGTAACTGGTAGGCCTCGAGGTTCGATCGCTATGCCTCGAGATTCGATCCACGAGCTTCGCGGATATTAAAATTAACTTTCATGTTTTAAAACTCTCATCTTTACTAGACCCCCCCCCCCCACTCATCCAATCATACAAGTATTTCACGTCGTCACTAAACTATATAATAAAGTAAATTATTAATGTAAAGTGTAGATGCGATTGTTCATATACTACTACTTAGTTACTGATTAGGTTTAGGCTTATAGTTAGGTTAAGTGTTGGTGTTGTGTTTGATGCTAAGCTTTTAGTTAGGGTTAGGATTAAGTTTCGGTTTCGGTTTCATGTGTGTGCGTTAAGCTTAAGCCTGGATATAGCTGTGGATTTAGATTAAAGACTTAACTTAGGATTATGTCGGCGTTTAGCGTTATAATGAATGTGGATAGGGAAGTGGTTGGTGAACCAAATATAACGGTTTCATTTTGCAATGTGTCGAGATGTGTACGTGTGTGGTAGTGTCCGTAATGCCTCGATGTGAGAGTGTGTCCAACGGTTACTGTGTGTCCTTAGTGTGTCTTTATCTGTAAAGTGTGTCCAGATGTGTCTCTGTCTGGTAGTGGCAAGTGTGTCTCGGTGTGATCGTGTGTCTCAGAGTATCCTAGTCTTGAGCTGTGTCCTAATGTGTCAAGCGTGACGGAATCTTGAGGTGTCCCGATTTGTCGTAATGTGTCCAAGTGTGATTGTGTCAAGAATGCCACGGTGTAAGGGTGTACAGCGGTTACTGTGTGTATTAGCGTGGCTTTATGTTTGAAGTGTGTCCAAATGTTTCCCTGTGTGGTTGTGTCAAGAATACCTCAATGTGAGGATGTGTACTAGAACGTATGTCTCAGTGTATCCATATATATATATATATATATATATATATATATATATATATATATATATATATATATATATATATATATATATATATATATATATATATATATATATATATATATATATATATATATCAATAGTGTTGCTGTGTCCTTGTCTATCAAGGTGTGTCCCAGCTTGTGTTTATACGAAGTCATCTTTTGAACAGCTAAACTACCAAGTTAATTTATTTGAACAAATAAAAAATCTATCCCCTAAAATTCGTACCTGTCTTTCTCATACCTGAGTTGTTTACTTTTAATTCAGGCGCCCGTCCCGTGGGCAACTACCACATAAAACCACCCCCCCCCCCCCCCAACGTTTATGAGGTCAGGGACAACACAATGTACATAATTTTTCTCTATACTCGATCACAAACCTCCTCTAATAGGCCTAACTGTGTACACGACCGACCACCCCTCCTACCACCCATTTTGAGCACTTTTGATGTTAGGTACAGTGTGTAACGTTGCCTCCCCATTGATTCACAGCTGTCCACATACATTCTATCCACCTATCCACAAATCTCTTTACCCCAATCCACTTTTATTCATAAACATTTCACTACCCATCCACCATTATCCATATACCTTCCACCACCCATCCATCGTTATCCACAAACTTCCCACATCCATCCACCATTCTCCACCAACTTTATCCACCTATCCACTGTTATCCACAAACTTCCCATATCCAACCACCTTTATCCAAACCCTTCCCCTTTCCATCCACCATTACCCACACCTCCACCATCCATTTCCACCTACCACATTATACACATTATCCCAACAACACCAGGTTTCTTCAATCCGCAACCCCACTCCTCACCATCCCACCCCACCCCAGCCCTCCCCGACCCCAACCCCTCTCCGCGTGTCACGAAAGCGGAATAACTCTGGCATCTCCTAATTTCACGCTTGACTGAGCACTGTCCTCCTCATTAGCTGTCTCTTATTTATGGCTTGATTTCTGGAAAGTTCCGCCATCTTGACCGCCCCCCCCCCCCCAACACCCAAGTAGTTTCTCCACGTGACAATACCTGTTATCCAATCATTCTGGGATTCGTAATTTAACTTTTTAGACAACCAAGGACACTAAGTACTCTAATGTGTCACATATTCAACTAAGCACGTGACATTACGTCATGTCTGTCATTAAATCTGTGAAAATATGTCATGTCTGTCATTAAATCTGTGTCATTAATTTTTTAAGGTTGTGTCATTGTAGTGTGTTTTGTGAGGTTGTGTGATGATAGTGTGTCTGTGTGTGTGTGTGTGATGGATGGTTGTCAATATTTGATTGGTGTGCGGGTTTGTGTGTGTTTGTGCGTGTTTATGTGTGTGTGGGTGGGCAATTATTCTGCCAGTTCAGACACAACGTGTTTCTTTATGTTTTCTTTTCAAAATTTCAAGAACATAAAAAAAGTCAAGTTCCCGATGAAGATTATAAATTGCTTGCACACGATTTCAAATATTTCTTCATGCTCTGGTTAGCTTGTGTAGAATGTATATGTCAAAACTACGGGCTATTTAGGCAGAGGCGTCACTAGGTTGCGGTGACACATGCCGAATTTCAGATAAATTGGTCGGTTAGAAGTGTTCGAAATTTCGCTCGCCCGTTTTGATCTATGACAACAGAAATACAGACATGACGGTGAAGCAAGTTAAATAAAAGTTTGTAAAAAAATCGAAAAAAAAAAATTATAGAAATTTTGTTTTGGTGTCACTCGCTTAGATGGCGTCACCGGGTGCGGTCTGCACCTCTGCCCCGCCCTTTGACGCTACTGAGTTCAAGGTTAAAATGTCATGTCATATGACATCGTAGCACACGACATGACATATCCCAATACAGCTAACCAAAATGACATCCGTCCTAAATTCCGTACTCCCTTACAAATGACATGTTAAGGTGTCGACCTCAGGTTAATCCTAGAGTGTTTAACGTTAACCCCCCCCCCCCCCCCTTACACTTTCGGCTAACCTCAAGGTCAACTACCTTATCCACTAACTTGAAATATCTTACCGATGACTAATTAGAGACTAATCGATGTGGGTTGATTAAAGTAATTAGGTTTTACCTCGGTAAGGCCGGGGGGGGGGAGGTCCTGGCACACGTAGGTTCATTAGCAAGGGGCGGTGACCACAGTGTGACCTGTTATCGATAGCGCTAGACGATTCATCACTCACCTTTAACGTCCTTCGGCTGTGAGCGACATTTAAGTAGTTTCATTATTTATTTACCAGACCCCGATTTTTTGCAATCAACCTCCCACTGTTTACGCGTGTTAACATAATTTAAAATACAATATGGAGTTTAACTGTTTATCAGATAGGAAAAATAACTTTATATTATATTTTTTTAACCGTTAAACTTATGGTATGGTATTGCTCTGGTTTAGCACTCATGGTATCGTGTATGGTACCTTTAACCTCAGGTATTGTCCACCTACTCATATAGCATACCCACACAAATCCACACACCCCTCTCACCTACACACTACATCGTCTTTGATGCTCTGGAATACTGGACAATGGCTGTCTTCGGCGCCTCAATCCATTCAATCATACCACACAATCCCCTCATTCTCTCTACAACCCGCACATTCAACACTCACCACCAATCAATCCTACCCTAACCCGCCCCCCTCTCTTTACAGCACCAGATTCTACAGCCTTCCTTCTAAACCCCACCCCTCCCTTTACAACCAGACCACCACCCTCCCCACACCTTCTGACCATCCCACCACACCCTTCCTTTTCCAAAAACCCAACCCCACACCTTATCGTCCAACCACCCCGCCCGCCCACCCTCCCATCCACCCCATCCCAACCACTTACCCTCCCATCCACCCCACCCCACCCCATCCCAACCACCCACCCTCCCATCCACCCCCACCCATCACACCCCTTCTAATCACCCCACCCCTCCCTTCCCAACCACCCCACCCCACATCACCCAACCACCCCTCCCTTCTTTTTCCATCCACCCGAGCCCCTTCCAACCCCCTCCCCTTCCAAACAATGACCTCATCACACATCTCCCAACACCAAACACAGGCTGTTTGCCACTCATTCACTCACACCATCCCCCCCCGCCCCCCACGCACTTGTTCAGGTACCACTGGCCGTCACTGCCAAACAGGAAGTGACGTCGCTGATCAGGCCACTTGATCGCGTCAATCACGTGGTGTAGTCCAACCGGAAACAATCACCTAATGGTGACATCACACGCCGAATGGTGACATCACACGCCGAATGGTGACATCACACGCCGAATGATCTCATTACAACCCAATTACTTCTTCAAACCACACTCCATGACACTGAATTTTTGTCATGACGTCATCAAAATAAAAATAAAATTTCGATTAATTTTCCCAATCTATAGCGCTTGACTCTAAGGGGTTGTCCATAATATTAAAATGAACTCACGGAGCAATAGTCCCAGATTAAGGCATACACTAGCTAAGTCGTATTTCTTGAAAATCTAACATCACCCATTATCACAAAGTCTAGACCCCCTTTCCCCATTAGTGTGTTACGTCATTTATGGGCAACCCCCTAATTCCGAGTATTGAAAAAAAAACCAACTATTTGCAATAAACACACCGACTGCAAACAGAGGTCTCCAGACGGTAGAAAACTCAGCTTTATTTGGTTCAATGCTTCTTATTGATTTACTAGAATCGATCTACTTAGAACAAGATCAAACTTCTTTGTTAGAGACACGTTACGTAAAAACTCGAATTGATCATTACTTAAACATTACTTAAACATGATCTAAATATTACATAAACATCACTTAATTAACGTGAAGTTGTGGTGCGATGTACCGTTTTTCTGCTATGGGGGGGGGGGGGTAGTAGTCAATAATTGACGTCATACTTTTTACTCTGTCTCTCTCCTCGTTGCATATCATTACAAAAATCCGACCCTTACTCTTCACACACTGGTGTGACGTCATTTATGAACTCTTCGAACCCCCCCCCCCCCCCCACCACCCCGTAGCTGATACCCGAGGTTAATTTCATAAGTCATGTGAGTTATGAGTGTTGTGAGTCATACGTTTTGTAAATCATAAATCATGTATGTCATAAGTCATGTATGTCATAAGTCATGTAAGTCATAAGTCACGTATGTCATAAGTCATGCGTGTCATAAGTCATGCGTATCATAAGTCATGCGTATCATACGTTATGCGTCATAAGTCATGCGCGTTATCACTGCATGGTATAAAGTTTTGTTTTTAAAGTTTCATCACAATAAAATGTCAATGTGGTCAAGTTTGGTCAGTATTGTCAGACTTTAGGAAATAAGAAAACATTACCAACATCACAAATGTTATAGTTTAACTGGAAAATGACTTGAACTTCTTCTTCTTCGTTCTCTGTTATTATATTCAATTTGATTCCTCCAATATAATTATAACGTGTCAACATTTTTGTGTCAAATGGCCCGTTGAAGCCAACTTTAGCCTGATTTTCTTTCTGATTTGCTTTCATTGCTTTTGTACAACCAAGAACAAACTACAAGACAGCAGTTGTTTGATTTTGGAGTTTTCTCTCCTAGATTAGTCGCGAACGAAACTCATCTGCATGGGGATCCGAACTCGGGGCTTTTGGAACTAGGAATCATACGCTCTCACTCCCAACGACACCATCACCATGGGTGTTGAACAACTTATTAAAAAAAAAAACAACTCCGAAAAAAAATACCTGCTAATTCCGTACCCCCCCCCTCCCCACCATAGCTAAGGGCTCCATGCTTAAGGTGGGTGGTGGGGGTGGGGGAGAGATCTTCAGGTTCTAGAGAGATGGACGGGGTTGTCTTTTGATCTTCCAGACGGTCGATATATTTCTGGAAGATAAAAGGAACTAATTAGTCATATTGTGACATACGACTATCACGTTCCTGACATTCAAATGTCACTGTATTGATTACATCACGCGTGGCATAAATCAATAACAGGGGGAAAAAATTTGTCTAAAAATATAATCCATGCCCCAGCTAAATTCTAAACTAGCTTTTGGAATGTGTGTTTCGTTATGTAAATGAGGTACGCTGAAATCTGTGTGTGTGTGTGTGTGGGGGGGGGGGGTTGGGGTTGTAAGAACTGGGTACAAGGTGGTCGATGTTTTCAAGGGGGGAATACACCTCGATTTAAAAAAATAAAAAAATAAATAAAATACAAAATTTTATTATTTATTGCAGTTTTTATATTTTTTATTTTGCAGGAAAAAAAAAACGTTTTGAAGATAAAGAAAAGTCCATCTAAACAGTGATAATATAGTTCTTGTGATATTTTGTTTTGAAAAAAAATCGCCAGGATATCAGAATAGAGAGAAAAATTTGAATTGAATCAATTGTTTGTAACTAGAACAGCAAGGAAATCAACGTCAATTTTTGCCATGAAAAGTTTGGATTAAAATTACACGAAAACAATATTGTAAGACAACAAGAATCATCGATTAGAAGTTAATGACCAAAAGAAGAACACCTGTTTTTTTTATAGGGATAAGAGTTGACTTCTGGACTTTGTTAAAAAAAAAAACTACAAATCTGTTACAAACTTTGACCTCTGAACTCTAGTTCAGTATGTTGCTGAATGACATCATTGGATAATTTCCCCCAACGTTGAATGTTCATCTGTTTAGCTCAGCGCTGTTTACATATAAAATGTTAACTTTTGTTACTTTTCTGTTTCCATACTGACCTTACGGACAGGTCTCAAGAACTACTCAAATAAAGCTGCATGTCAAAATACGAGTGGGAAAAGAATAAAAAAAAGAAATAAAACAAACCTTGACCCTAAACACACAGAATGTGTAACTTCAAACCGGTTTTTCACGAGTTTTGCGGGTAAGCTTTTGACATTTGAAACTTTTCAGTATAATCTAAGCATACATTTTAAAGCTGTATTTGATGAAGACATATATTCGAAACTATTGGCGTAGCCAGGGGTTTAAGGAGGGGGAGAGGGAGTAAAAAGCCCATATATAACCTTCAGACATCTGTTTCGTATTACAGTAGTTGGCGATTATACGTTCGTGCCTTATCTTAATTGTCAACTAGCTTACATTTTTAAAATTATTATGATATATATATATATATATATATATATATATATATATATATATATATATATATATATATATATATATATATATATATATATATATAATATATATATATATGTATACATATATATATATATATATATATATATATACATATATCATATATATATATATATATATATATATATATATATATATATATATATATATATATATATATATATATATATATATATATATGAGTTCCAAAAATACATGTTTCGATGTAAAGCGTCAACGAAGCATGTTGACTCTTAACAAATTCGTCTGACTCCTTACAATGATTTTGTAATAAGCAACTTCTCACTCTCTCCACTTCCCCCCTCCCATCCCCACACACACCTCCAAAAACCGTTCTACCACTAGTCAACAGGGTGTGATATTTACACAGCCAGACAGTTCAAATGTAACACAACTCCAGTCGAGGTCAGAAATTGAGGTAGAGAGGGGTGCATGAGGGGGGTGTACAACTTAAACTATATAAAGTGGGTCAGTTTTTTCCGTAATAAACAACTTGCTTTCGTAATGCACAATTCAGTTTGGTATTCGATTCCGCGTTTTATAAAGATCGGCTCATGATGATTACAACAGATGAGGATTGTGTGGAAAGTTTTCAGATCTTGAACACACCCCGTTCGGCCGTGGCGTTCAACAAATAAGAAAAAAATATATCATCTCCTGAAGATGAAAAGTACATTTTACTTCTAATACTTTACTTGTCTAATTCTATTTTACGTGAGTATTATGTAGGATATTACTGAGGACGCAACCTGTTCTAAATCAAAGGATCGATATCTGTTTTCTTAAAACTCGGGCGCCGAGTCGTCGAGTACGGATGTGTTCAAGCAACGGAAACGTTTATTTAGGTCATATTTTGGGATCGTGTTTTTTCCTTTGACAACTTGAACGCATTTAAGGATACGAGACAGTGGCGTATACTGTTGGGGGGGGGGGGGATTAATCCCACTCCATGGACCCTCCCCCCAAATAGTCGCAGTCTACTAAAGTTATAACTATTGGTGGCATCGCATTGATTTATAGACCAATGTTAGGTTCTTAAACTCGTTATGATACAAAAAATAATTGAAAACACGCCCACACAACAAAATCTTTACTTCGCCACTGGTAAGACATAATTGTTGTCGGTTAATTACTAAATCTAAAATATCCTGTTGACAGTTTTAGTACTTTGTTTATGTACTGTTTTGCCCTGGTTAAAAATAGCATAGAATACTGGAAAAAAAAATTCATAAAGAAAATTTTGATCTATGATCAAGATTGGGGGGGGGGGGGGAGGGGTTCTTTTGAAAATTTTCCGGGCCTCTTGGACACAAGCAGTCAACCCTTTATTGTAGCATTGTAAAACAGTTCCAAAACACTGTTTCATAACACAATCACTTGGATAAAACAAATCATAACACAATAACTTATATAAGCTAAACACAATGTTCGCTCTCTATTTTTAAAAGTTTACATAAGTTGAAGAAAATTCTCACTTGATGTGATTTACTTGAGGGTGAGTCACGTGGTCATATGCTAGCACGTGAGGGCATGTCAGCGAAATGGGCTAATTTTAGAGTTGACGTTTTTTTTTCTGTGTCCGAAGGGAGGGATGGTGAGGAGGGGGGGGGGGGGGGGGGGTTCGGGGTGTGGCGATATCGTTCAATCAAGATTGTGGGGACAACAGAAATGTATCAGTGCCAGTCGTGGTGGGATGGACGAAAGAACGGTGTAATTAATTAATTAGTGGTGATTAACAGGGTGATTAGGTGAGGGTGTGGCGTGTGAGAGAATAGTGAACGACACACTGACGGGTAGGATAGGAGGGATAGGTGGGATAGGTGGGGATGGGGATAAGTGAGATAGTTAAGGATAAATACATTTTACGTATCACACACCACTGTAAGAACCCAAATCACCAACCCCACACACCGATATAGAAACCCCAGACACCAATATAGAAACCCCAGACACCATTATAGAAACCCCAGACACCAATATAGAAACCCCAGACACCATTATAGAAACCCCAGACACCAATATAGAAACCCCAGACACCAATATAGAAACCCTAGACACCAATATAGAAACCCCAGACACCAATATAGAAACCCCAGACACCAATATAGAAACCCCAGACACCAATATAGAAACCCCAGACACCAATATAGAAACCCCAGAAACTCCAGATGATGTAGAAGCCATAGACACCAATAAACCATATACCAGACACCTTTTAACAATCTCGGTCAACAGCCATATTTCCCCATTAAGTTTTATAAACACGAACTTGTAACTCGGTCAAAGATGTGTCACCTCAGTCGCTCATCGATCTCGTCATCGATCAATGTCAAGGATGCGCAGAGAAGTAGAGCTGTAGGTATGAGTGGGTTTGTGTTTTAGTAACCTCCTGCTAATAAGCTTGAGTGATTTTGTCAAGGATGCAGTGGCGGAACTAGAAAAAAAGGGCCACCCCGCAAAAAAAAAATTCTGGGCCCCCCTCCTATATATATATATATATATATATATATATATATATATATATATATATATATATATATATATATATATATATATATATATATATATATATATATATATATATATATATATATATATATATATATAGCCTCTCTCTCTCTCTCTCTCTCTCTCTCTCTCTCTCTCTCTCTCTCTCTCTATATATATATATATATATATATATATATATATATATATATATATATATATACATACATACAAACACAGAACACAAACATTGGATACTTATTTTTGGTTTGATCGGGTTTGAAAAAAAAATGTCTTTTTTTTTTCAATTTAAACTAATTACAACATGTCATGTGTGTGCGTGCATTAGTCTGTTTTGAATTTTTTTTTTCTGTAATACAGCCGATTCTCTAGTAAACTAAAGGTTATGCCGGTCAAAAAAAAAATATATATATAAAATGTGAAAACTTTGTATGTGAAATGGTTTCTCGTGATATGTTTATTTTTATGTTTTTTCGTAGTTATATTATTTGTTTTAAATATATTTCCTTTTTATGCCATGTTAGTCTTTAGTTTGTATTTCTTTTAAAATAATAATTAAGAGGAGTAATTGCTTTTTTATTTGTTTAGTACAAATATATTAAAAGGAGCTTATGAGCACCCCTATTTAACTATTTAAAAAAGGGAAATAAGTCATGGAAGTGTTTTGAACGTTTCCTATCTTTCACTCTACAGCCCAGGCATATTTTTTTTTTACGCAACAGCATGTGTTAGCTATTGTATAACATCACAAGTCTAGTAGATCTGTTTGTAATTGACAAATGCTATTACCGTCAAGTCAAAAATGCAAGAATTTTTTTTTATTTGTAACTATAAGATTTTTTTATTATGGTCGGCTATGGGCCCCTAAAGGCGTGGGCCCCCCCGCATTGCGGGGTCTGGCGGCACTGTAGTTCCGCCCCTGCAAGGATGCGCAGAGAACTAGAGCTGTAGGTATGAGTTTGTGTTTTATTAACCCCCTGCATTGATTGAGTGATTTTGTCAGATAGTGTTACGCAAGGTCTGCACCAGGGGTTGTTTACAAATGTCGTTGGAGGGGGGGGGGGGACTTGAAACTTTTGGGGGAGGGCGGACAAAATTTTCCGAAGTAAAGCCTGAAAAAAAAACACAGTATATAATGAAGTCCACGAAATGGGACGAGACGAAGATTATGTATTTCTTACGGTAAATATGACAATATTTATATTTTCGTTGGAGTTGAGACGATCTATTGTATTAAACATGAGTTAAAAACATATCTGAACTATTTCAATGTTTGCTATTTTTATAATATATTGAAAAACATCCATAGACGCGCATGCTAAAAAGATCAAGATTTCCTGACATTTTACTATTTTTAGCCGAAGGGAAGAACTGCGAGGAACCAAGAATCCATTACTGCGCATGCGCATTAAAAGATAAACAAGGATCCCCCCCAACCATTCAGTGAATGATCGAAACGTGTCTAGTCGCGTCACGTGAACCGTGACGTCTGCACCAGCTGACGATATATAAACAACACACTTTTTTTTCTTCCTTTTTTCCGGAGTTGTTTTTTGACCTACTTAGTGGCACACTCAGCGCGTGCTGAAAGTGCTCACACTTTTATTGTTTCGTCAGCGATGTTGACACGCCTGAAATAGGTCAATACCAAATATAGATGTGTTGTTGCTTTTTATAGAAGGCTTTGTTAGGATTTGTCATATTAGATCCACCTAAAATAGACAAAGACAATGGAGAGATAAGCAGACATTACTCAATCTGGTTCTGTTTGGTTAGCCGTACCCGCAGAATGGATTAGCTGGTTCAGCCGATAAGGTCGGATTTAGGATAAGGGTGGATTAGGGTATATGGCTAATCCAAAAGCTTAATACACAGCAATCAACTTCATTGTAATACGCAACAACACAATCAAGTACATTGTAATATACATCAGCAACACAATCAACTACAGTATATACACAACAACAACACAACCAACTACATTGTACTACACAACAGCAACAACACAATCAACTACAGTGGAATACACAACAACAACACAATCAATTACAGTGTAATCCACAACAACACAATCAACTATAGTGTAATACACAACAGCAACAACACAATCAGCTACAGTGTAATACACAACAACAACACAATCAACTACACTGTAAATTACAACAACATAATAATCAACTACAGTGTAATACGCAACAGCAACATCACAACCAA